TGAGGAACGCCAGGTAGCTGAGGACCATGTGGACCACGTGGACCTCCCGAAACGCCAGGTAGCTGAGGACCTTGTAGACCTCCCGAACCACCATGTAGCTGAGGCCCTTGTAGACCTCCCGAAACACCAGGTAGCTGAGGAGGACCTCCCAAACCACCAAGAAGCTGAGGACCTTGTGGACCTCCCGAAACGCCTGGTAGCTGAGGACCATGTGGACCTCCCGAACCACCAGGAAGCTGAGGACCTTGAGGAATTCCCGAAACGCCTGGTAGCTGAGGACCATGTGGACCTCCCGAACCACCAGGAAGCTGAGGACCTTGACAAACTTGAGGAACGCCAGCTCCAGAAAGACCACCTTGTGCTCAGATGTCCCGTGAAGTGAGCTACCTCCTCCATGAGGTACTCCGTGAAGTGGATCATCCCCTGGCACCTGAGGACCTCCTGGAACTCGACCAACTCCCTGCTCGGCCTTGCCCCCAGACTGTCTCCCAAAACCAGCATTCATCAGCTCTTGTACCTGTCTCGCAAAGCCACCACCTCGGTCTGCACCTGGTCTCTGCGATCCCTCATGTACTGTCCCAGCTGACGTTGCACTTCAACCCGAATTTCTGACGAACCCGTAGACCCTTGCGACGTTTGTTCTCCATGAAGTAGAGGTCCACGAGAAGGCCAACTGTTCATTCTCTCCACCGCCCTCTGGTCAAACAACGCGGAGTGACCCCCACCTTCCACGGCGGGGAGAAATTCCAAGGCGATTGCCTGGCTGCCGACTCTGCTGCTGTGGCTGCGGGGCGTTCCCGGGGCCTGATTGGGTGTTAGTCCTAAAGACCCCAACATCCTATCCCCTAAACCACCACCACCAGTCGTCGTCGCTCGCAGAAAGTCTGTCAGCCTTGTCATCCATCCATATGCGCCCGTTCCAGTCTGGACATACCTCATCTCCAGCCCAGTTGTACGCGACGCAGCTGTCGGCGAGCCAGCATTCGCAGTGCCTTCCACGGCGGTCTGCACCATCTGCACTGCACCAAATCCTTCGGCTGCCACTGCAGTCTCCAAGCCACCATTGCTGGACTCCAAAACCCTAGGTTGCTCCACCACTGGCCAGTTGTCGTTGACCTGCTCCATCTCCAGGCCACCAGTAACACCAGGGTCTCCGCTGCCCAGCACACCACTATTTGTCTGCCCATCGGCAACAGCAGGTGTACTCAGGTCTCCACCCTGAACCGGTCCCACAACAACTGCACCAGTCCCATTTGCACCAGCACCATCTGTACCAGCACCAACTGTCAAAGATCCGTAGTTCGGCCCAGCTGTCTCACCAACCAGCGTAGGGGAACTCAATAATCCAGCGGTTGCGCCCAGGCCGCTTGGGCTCATAACCTCAAGAGCGCGGGGCTCTTGAGGTCCAGCAAACGACATGGCAGCTTGGCTTGTCTTGGGTGTGGCTCTGGCTCGGCTTGTACTCCTTGTACACACACAGCTTCACCACCAGAGGCTCCCTTTTCCTCACACTGCAGCACCGAAGTCCATCGGCCAGTCGGGCGGTCCTACCTCTACCACGGAAAGGCGACCACACAACAACAAGCGACCAACAGAACAACAACAGAACATGCGACCTGTTGCCTGCATGTCTTATGCTGCAACTGCTTGTGTTCCGATGCCTACGGCATGTCCTGGAACCAAAACAGTCAAAGCCACAGGTGCATCTCATTCCACACCTTTCATCATAGGGTTTAGGGGTTAGGGTTTAGGGTTTAGGGTTTTTGTAGGGGTAGGGGTCAGGGTTTGTTTTAGGGGGTTTAGGGTTTAGGGTTTAGGGTTTAGGGTCGTGGGTTAGGGTTTGTTTTGGGGGCTTAGGGTTTAGGGTTTAGGGTCGTGGGTTTTAGGTTTAGGGTTTAGGGGTTTTGGGGTGGGTTTGGGGGTTTGGGTTTGTAGGGTTTAGGGTATAGGGTTTTAGGTTTAGGGTTTAGGGTTTTTAGGGTTTAGGGATTTAGGGCTTAGGGTATAGGGTTATAGGGTTCAGGGTTGTGTTTTTTAGGGTTTAGGGTTTGGATGTTTAGGGTGTTTAGGGTATAGGGTTTAGGGTTTAAGTAGGGTTCAGGGTTTAGGGTGTTTAGGGTTTTTGGGGTTTAGTCTAGGGTTTTGGGGTTTAGGGTTGTGTTTTTTAAGGTTTGGGGTTTAGGGTGTAAGGTTGGGCTTTAGGGTGTTTAGGGTTTAGGGTTTAATTAGGGTTCAGGGTTTAGGGTTCAAGGTTTAGGGTTTAGGGTTTGTTTTTTTTTTGGGGGGGTTCGGGTCGAGGGTCGTGGGCTTAGGGTTTCGGGTTTAGGGGTTAGGGGTTTAGGGGTTTAGGGGTTTAGGGGTTTAAGCGTTTAGGATTTAAGGGTTGGGGGTTAGGGTCTTTAGGGTTTAGGGTTTTTACGGTTTAGGGTTAGGTTTAGGGTTGTGTGTTTTAGGGTTTAGGGTTTAGGGTATAAGGTTGGGCTTTAGGTTGTTTAGGGTTCAGGGTTTAGGGTTTACGTAGGGTTTAGGGTTTAGGGTTTGGTTTAGGGCTTTGGGTGTAAGGTTGGACTTTAGGGTGTTTCGGGTTTCGCGTTTAGGGTTTAATTAGGGTTTCGGGTCTAAGGTTTCGGGGGTTTCGCTTGGGGGTTAGGGTTTTTAGGGTTTATGGTATAGGGTTTAGGGTTTAGGGATGTTTGGGTTTAGGGTTTAGGGTCTAGGGTTTAGGGTTTAGGGCTCCCTTGGAGGAAGCCAATGTGTAAGGTTGGACTAGGTTGGACTTTAGGGTGCTTAGGGTTTAGGGTTTAATTAGGGTTTAGGGTTTAGGGTGTAAGGTTGGACTTTAGGGTGTTTAGGGTTTAGGGTTTAATTAGGGTTTAGGGTTTAGGGTGTAAGGTAGGACTTTAGGGTGTTTAGGGTTTAGGGTTTAATTAGGGTTTAGGGCTTAAGGTTTAGGGTTTAGGGTTTGTTTCGGGGGTGTTTCGGGTTGAGGGTTTAGGGTCGTGGGTTTTGGGTTTAGGGTTTAGGGGTTGAGGGGTTCAGGCGCTTAGGGTTTGGGGGTTGGGGATTAGGTTTTTTTGGGTTTAGGGTATAGGGTTTCGGGTTTTCGATGAAGGTTTTGGGTTTTTAGGGTTTAGGGTTCAGGGTTCAGGGTTTAGGGTTTAGGGCTCCCTGGTATCTGGGAGGAAGCCAATGTGTAAGGTTGGGCTTTAGGGTGTTTGGGGTTTGGGGTTTAGGTCTTAATTAGGGTTTAGGGTTTAGGGTTTAGGGTTCAGGGTTTGTTTTTTGGGGTTTAGGGATGCTGGCTTCTGGCTACAGTTAGGGCTACTTCCCTCCCAGTAGCTTCAGGAGAACAAAAAGACACGGGTAACGCCCACAAACACCACCGAGGCAGCTGTTCCTCGATACATCCGAAAAAAACAGAGACAAAAAAGACACAGGTAACGCAAAATGAAAAGACACAGATACCGCGAGCAAAAAAGACACGGATCACCCCCTTTCCGTCTTGCAGACCTATTTTGGATATTACATATGGACAGTATATACTATGAGTGTGATTCTATATAGGACTGCAAGACAGCAAGACTGAAAACTGCTCACAAACGCATGAATTACTAATTAGTAATTAAGAAACTGCTGTTCTTATAATACAGAGCTTTAGGCCCTATAAGCCCTAAACCTGAAACCCCGTTTATAATTCGGCACTAGCGCTTCGGTTCAATGTATTATCGAGCCTTTCCTCAAAAAGAGAGAGAGAAGGGTCTTAGGGTTTTAAACCCTCAACCCTAAACCAAAACCCTGAACTTGATCTTAGGCCGGCTCTAAACACCCTTTGGCTGTGGACTCGCCACGCCGGCAGTGCGTAACCAGCAAGCCACGCAGGGCTATGATTTGTAATGTGCCCGCCGCACACCACCCTGCAGCCACTCAACCTGGTCTCGCACAGTCAAGGAGTGATCGATCAGAGACATTCTTTGACATGTCGCCGGCAGGCAAATCTCCGTGCTTACGGCGATGGCTGCGGGCTCAACGCGCCTGCCAGCAACTTAACATTCGCAGAAGCGCATTCAGGAGAGAGCTTCGCAACCGTAGCGTCGAAGGCCCTATTGAGCCAAGCCCTGACCGCAGTCCAGAACTTACTCGCGCTCGGCAGCACGCAAGGATTGCCAGCACCATGGCAGAGCACCATCAGGTGATTCACCTGCGCGCTCAGCCTCGACCGAGGCAAATTGCCACCGGACAAAGGCTGTGGGCTCTCCACGCCGGTCCTAAACTCAGTCCTTCAGCATGGCACATCAGCCTGGACACATGTGGCCACTACTCTGTGCTAACCCACTCCACAGTGGATACTTGCGCCAAGTACAGGCCCTCTCTAGTACGCACACCCTTTTCCTTTTCGGGCAAGGTGCAAAGCAAAACTCTTGCTTCCAACTTTGACACTTTGATGGCTGTGCTTGCGGTGTCTTACAGCAACCGCCCGGCTGTTGGCTCAAGGCAGGGGGGAAGGATGCGGGGAATTGGCTTGTGTACTCTTGTTTTGGGTCGTCTCTGGGTTTGCTGTGTGCTTGTGTTGTAACTCTAGTTGGATTGAAAAGCCTGGTGAAGAACGAGGACTAGTCTTACACACAGATGACGCCATTTTGGCATCGATGCCGCAAGCCCGTTGTGAAGACGTTGGAGCGGAAAGTGGAGGTGAAGGTGTCTCCACCGATGGTGCGTGAAGGTGACGAGCTGGAATTCCTGAAGAGAAAGTATGTCCTGACCCAGGATGGCGTTGCGATGTTCAGTGGAAAGAAGCACTTGGAAGGCTTCAGCACAGCCTTGGGAGATGTGAAGCCCCGAGACACCCCGGCCGACCAATCCTTCCTGGAGATCGACAGAACGGATCCTCTTCCAGCAGTGCAAGCCCGGATTTACAAGGAGTCCGTAGGGAGGTTGCTGTGCCTGAGCCACGCCAGAGGTGACATTCAGTTTGCAGTGTGTGTTTTGGCAAGCAAGATGGCATGCCCAACAAAGGCGTCATTCAAGTGGTTGCAGCGAGTTGTGGGCTACTTGGTCCGGGTCCCGAATCTGGAGTTGATGCGAACGCCAACAGCGGCCGCTTGGGATATCAGGGGTCCGGGCCATTGGAGCTCGGAGGCAAGCTTATCATAGAGTCTGTGACCGATGCAGACTGGGCCGGGCACAAGGAGTCACGGAAGAGCAAGACGTCAGTCCACCTCTACATGTCCGGCGGATTGTTGGCCTCGTATGTCCGATCCCCACGATCGGTGGCGTTGAGTTCGGGCGAGTCGGAATATGTGGCCATGGTCAGTGGAGGAAGTGAGCTTGTCTACCTCAAGGATTGCTTGAACTACTTGACAAAGAATGCCTATGACCTGGAGGCAATCATGAGGAGTGACAGTGCTGCAGCCCGTGGAATCAGCCAGAGGATGGGATGCGGGCGTGTCAGACACTTGGACTGCCCCATGATGTGGGTGCAATCCTCCATCAAGGAGGGTGTCCTCAAAGCCTCCGCCATAGCTAGAGCTCGAAATCCAGCTGATATTGGCACAAGGCCTCTGAGCTGCACAAAGCTTAGGGAGCTGCTTGGGAGATGCGGCGCCCTTGACGAGAATCTCGAGCCCTATGGCATGGATGAGGTGTCCGCAGCGGAGTTTCGAATTAGCGTGCGTCAAGTGTCAGCCAGTGGAGCCTTCAATGGAAAGCAAATGAAGAAGATGCTACCTGTGCTTTTGGTGTTGGCGCAGGTGATGGGAAGCAATGGAATGGAGATCGAGGGCTTGGGCTTGCTTGGCATGGTGGACGATGTAGCAATTTCATCATTGACTTCCATGACTTCGGTTTTCATGATTGGCTGCCTATGGTTTGGTGTACTTTGGGTCATGTTCCGTTTATGCAAGTGGTTTGGCCTGGAGTGCAACTTTCGCATCAGGCAAGGAAAGTCTCGAGCTGAAGCATCATGCCAAGCTGATCTTGGAATGAGCCCAAGATCGTGAGGAAAGCAGAGAGAGAGAGAGAGAGAGAGAGAGAGAGAGAGAGAGAGAGAGAGAGAGAGAGAGAGAGAGAGAGAGAGAGAGAGAGAGAGAGAGAGAGAGAGGAGAGAGAGGAGAGAGAGGAGAGAGAGAAGAGAGAGATAGAGAGAAGAGAGAAAGAGAGAAGAGAGAGAAGAGAGAGAAGAGAGAGAAGAGAGAGAAGAGAGAGAAGAGAGAGAAGAGAGAGAGAGAGAGAGAGAGAGATGAGAGAGATGAGAGAGATGAGAGAGATGAGAGAGAGAGGGAGAGAGAGAGAGGGAGAGAGAGAGAGAGAGAGAGAGAGAGAGAGAGAGAGAGATGCGAGCAAACCCTGATTGAAGTGCGAGAAGATAATCGGCGACTTCGTGCCGAGAATGTACGGATTTTGGCGAGAGGCCGAATGCCGGAGCGAGTCATCACCAGTCGCTCAGGCATAGCATATCACCTACCCGGATGTCACTCACTTGAGAACTCGAACTATCTTCGAAACTACCAACCTTGTGCTCATTGTGTGCGACCAAGAGTGATTGAAGGGTGATCAGCAGAGCAAAGTGCTCAGCAGATCAAAGCGGGGTGTTAGTACAGCATGCACGCCCGAAACCCTTAACATATCTCACTTCCGAAGCCCTCAAACGCTCTGAGGAAAGTTGAACACAAAAAGCCCACACCCCGAAGCTTAACCCCGACAACGCTCAAACCCCAACGCCAAAGAAAAACTTGAATCGAGCCTTAAACCCCAAAACCCCTACAAGAACTGAAGAACGTGTCTCCACATCTAGGGGAAGTAGGAAACTGGAATTTAGGGAGCTGGATACCTGTATCCTTTGTTCGATGCTTGTCAAAGTGCAAAGTGCGAAAGCCGGTGGACCACAGACCAGCGCTCTGAGCACCATTCACATACATTCACAAAGGCTAGAATTCGCCTGGAGCAGCTTTCTGTTTCGTTTCGACGCTTTGCCGATTGCACATTCCGTGCCGCTTTCGTTCATTCCTCGATGTGCTTTGGTGCTGCTGCAAAGCCTGATTTTTTCTGTCAACTCTTGCTGACGTCGACTCGACTTGGCAAGCAGAGCGAAAGAGCGAATGCCCCTGAGAGAAGCACCAACAGACTAACAATCACAACTGTGCATGAGAGCACGCTTGGCCCCTATGCCTGGTTCGTGCCGGCCCTGTGTTTGGGACACATATTGCTGACGCTCCTCGTCGCCGCGCGCAGTGCTGCGACCCTGGACGATGGGGCCGGGGGGATGGCCCGTGTTGCACACTCACCTCCTCATGTAACACCACGCGCAATCACATCAACCAGCGGACAACATCTGAAACCAGCAGTAAACAACAGAGTTTGGGGGCATGAGCTCTCAGATGCCATCATATTTCATCACATGCAGCCGTCACGTCCAATGGAGCCGCACCCACTTTTCGCCGGGACCCGCCGGGAGCTTGGGCGTGCCACAAATTCAACTCGCATGTTGGTCCACTCAACGGCTCAACGCTCATATCTGTTTTTGTTGCAACCGCAGGCTTGTTGTCAGAGAAAAGAGGGCGAAGTTGGCAACAGGGTTGCGTGTTTTGCTGCTTTCAAGATATCCCTGCATCGAGCCCAAAGTTCGGCTAGTTTATCGACGTAGGCGGGAAACTGATGGGAGCACACGCGTCCAGCTCAGGCTTGTCGCCTTCCCCTTCCCGTGGACGGTGCAGAGGCGTGCTTCGGGGTTGACTTTTTACAGTTTGGGATTTTGTCACAGGCGTTCTGAAATGCGTAATTCTAAGGCTGCCTTTCATGGGTGAATTTGCCGGACAGCTTCTTCCACTCGTGTAAGCAGGTCGGTGCTGATCACCAGAAGAAAATCAGAAGGTAGATGCTGACAAGCATGGGCTGGTATGGGCTTGATTTTGACGCTGATCGCGCCACCCGCCCTATAACCCTCTATATATAACCCCTGAGTTCGAACCCTGCGCCCTTGCTTTGGCATGCGCGCCGATGGAACATTCGCCCGAAAATCCAGAACACCCAGAATTTGTCAGGGTGGAGGTTCCTCGAATGTTCCTACAGTGTTAAGAGGCTTTCTGAAGGTACGGGGCGTACGGGGCGTCAAAGCTGCCCAACTGCCCTTTCCCAATGCCGGGCACCCACCCCAGACCCAAGAACCCAAAAAGAAAAAGGTTCGCCTTCCCCTTGTCTGGGAGGAGGGTTTAGGAGGTGGGTGTTTGAGACACAACCAGAAGCTCCTTCATCAGGCTCAATGCCATGCCACGGCCGCCGCTGCGCATCCGAGCCGCCGTCCACGGCCGGGCTTCCCAAGCGGCTAAAGTTAAAGGACAGCGATAGGATGCAGCTACAATGATCAGAATGATTATGTTTTACAGTGCAAAATCAGGAAATGTACAAGCGCAGCAGTCAGAACTATCAGAGGCATGGAAGGAAAACATGGCAGCGTGGCTACTTACACGCGTGCATTTGTGAGATGATTCTGTTCTTGAAGCTTTAACAGTTGTTGGAGAGCTGTTCTGCATGTTTGTGATGCGGATATCCTCCCCGAATACATAGCCTGCTGCAGCATCGCTGCTCCTAGAAAATGCCTTGAAGGGGGCCCCCCGACGGCGGGGTGCGCAAGCCCTGCGCGGCCGGGAATGCCTTGCAGAGACGTCCTGAAATGAGCCTTTCGTTGATGGTGTGCTGCTGTCGGTTGCGGGTATGGGGTCTGACTGCTGCGTTTTTTTTTGTTCTTGCGTGCAGGAAATGCCTTGCAGGGGATGGGCCAGCACATACATGTTGGGAGTAGTGATGCTGCAGGCAGACTTTCCCCCTCCTGTTGACCACTGGAGCTGCATCAGTCAGGAGATTGATTAGTTGTCTTTCCTTGTGCTTTACTCTACTTCGGACGCGTTTTCCATTTGGCATTTGATACTTCACCGGTGCTGTGTCGAGTCATGGAATCGTAGATCGACGCAACACCTCCGCAGGGCCGCCACTTGGATAGCCCACTGGCCAGGGCCTGATTGTCAGCTCACGGACTCATTCCGGGGTGTGCGCTTTCTGGGTGTTAAGTCTGAGTAGAACTGCTTTTTTCGATGTCCGTCAGCGACGGGATTGGGTTCTAGCAAAGCATGCTGCACAGGGCTTCGCTTGCACCCCATGTCCTTGACAGTCTAGATGAAGGCAGGGTAATTTTCGCAGGCTATGATAGCAAGATCAAGATCCTGATAGTTGTTGATCGTATGCGCAGTTCAGGTGTCGGACAAAATGTGTACTCTGTGTATGCGAAAGTGCAAATCATTCCAGGCTCATCAGTGGGTGGCGAGCCTGAGCAAGCAGGAGCTTTCGACTTGCGTCAGTGTTGCAACGAGAAGCACTGCAAGTTCATTTTTCTTTCGGGGCCTGCAACCTCTGGTCACTCCATGCTGATCTGCAGGAAATAGCGGTCGTCATCCCGTTGCTGAGGACGCTGGATGTACAAGCAGATTAGCATCATACACGTTCTTCATCGAAGCTGTTGCTTCTGTCACGGCCTCCTTTGCCTGACAGAAGCCCTTTCAAAAAAGAGGAGGGTCTGGCCGAGCAGCCTGAGTGCCTCACCTGCACAAAGACTGGCATCCCTGACACACTAGTTTTAGGGTTCGCCCTAAACCCTAAACCTAAGGGTGGAGGTCATTGGGAGTTCTAGTGCGGTTGCTGCATTAGCATCGATGCGCGTATGCACTCTCAACTTCTACAACTAGATGGGGGGTGGGGGTCCTAGAAGGGCCTCCGATGTCCCCTTGCCGGCCCTTGCAAATTAAACCTGGGAAGCACAGCCCTTGAGTCAAAAGCTATGTTCGCCGATATGGCACTGCTTTCGCTGGGCTGGCCTCGCCATCCCTGTCAGACGCAGTCGCCCATCGGGCCTGCGCCCTGGGAGAACAAAGTTGCTCCACGGACCTGCGTCCTGCAGGAAGGCCAATGCATCCTGACTCATTATGCACACCTGCGCAGTGCAAATTGTGAAGCCTGGGTTTTTATCCATTGCCTTCGCCCGGTTCGTCCGACTCATCGGGGGACTCCTGCATCGATGCATCATGGCACTCTTCACTGCACTCTCCTCTCCACTCTCCTCTGCACTCCATTCCATTCTTGCACTGCGCTCTTGAGGGATCCCGTAGAAGGTCTGGAACCCCTCAAGGGTTGGAAGTTCGTGGAAAACAATTCAAACAAATGTTTTGTAGACTCCCGAAATGCTGGGCGAGGACCCTGGGGCCTGAAAGCCCGCTGCGGCTAGATGGTCGCCGTTCAGGACGGGGCATTCTTGCTTTAAGACGTGCTTGAAAGATAGGCCTTCGTGGAAAGATACGGCTTTCCCAGGAAGTTCTTGGCTTTGCAATTTAATTGTTCATGGCATGTGCTTGTTCTGAGCCGTCGTCGCAGCTGCTAGCGAACCATGCGAACCACACAATGAGAAGACCTGGGCGAACCATGTACGAATGCTCGTTTTTCTGTTTAGAAGACCTTTCCAAGCGATGACTGATTCCTTTTCGAAGGTCGCTTTCTCTGCTAATCTTAGAGTTTTCTGGCACAGACGCAAAAAAAGTACTGCGTGGAGTGTAGGGTACGTGGTCCTCCCAAGTTTGCACCCAACGCCCTTCGTTAGCCTTCGAACTGCTTTGGCTGATTGCTGCTGTCACCCGCCCGCTGGGCCGGCAAAAACCCTTGCTTCGACATTCATCAAGTTAGGCATTGACTTCGGTAGGCTGAAGTAAATGACCCGGCTTTCTGGTTCCATCTGGTCGCCTAGATCCTGGAAAGCTGGACAATTGAGCCTCCACCAGGGCAGGTAAACAACCCCTCCCCAAGCGTGTTGACCTTGGAAGTTTGGAAAGAAGTGCAGGGCTTAGGTTTTCGGTCCAACAGACACCTTGCCATTGCAAATGCCATCAACCCGAGGCACGAATCAGCGTCAGCACGTGTCTCTCAGCAATCTCACAGGAGCAAGTCCAGAAGCAGGACGAGG